TGTGTGTGTGTGTGTGTGTGTGTGTGTGTGTGTGTGTGTGTGTTTGTGTGTATAGGGGAGGAGAGTAGTAGGGGTAGAGAGGTGTGAGGATAGATAAGGGAAAAGGGGTGTTCCTCAGTCCGAGAGGTCAAAGTTCATGTTTAATCTCCCCAGGTGGAACTGACCATAGGTGAGAAAATGTACTACAGCCTAATCAGCAACCCGTCCATGTGCTATCTGTTACAACTCAACGCATACCACTGTGGTCTCCTGGACACGCCCCTCAAGGCCAAGGAGATACTTCCGGTGAGACCATAGAATAAGGAAAGGGGACATACATGACGTGTTGGTTGCAATTAAAATCGTAGTACGGTCGAACTTGCTTTAACGACCATCTGTATAAGACAATCACCCTAACAGATTGTCACTTCCAGTTTCCGCCCTTGTTTTTTTTAATTTTATCTTTACATTTTAATAACACTGTGGTAAGAAGGCCACCTGTCTATGACGGCTACTTTCTGATGGAAAATGAGTGATCGTTTTAGACAATTTCAACTGTATATCTCCCAAGTGCAACAACAATAGCGGTGTTTAGCTATTTACCTTAGTGTTCCGTGGGTCGACAGAAAAGAATACTCTCAAGTTCATGTCTTTGGTTGTGGATCGACCCAGGGTACTTCTTCTAATTAATTTTTGTACGGTTTTGCTGCTGTCTTAATCCAAATATTCCTGGAGAAATTTGGCCGTTTTTGAGAGGACGTTTCTCCTGTTCAAAACTTTCTTCTTCTTCACCATCATCTTCAGCAGCAGTAGCAGCAACTACAACAACAACAGCAATAACAAAAACAACAGCAATAACCAACAACTTCAATTTCAACTACAACAACAACACCACCACTACCACCACCACCACCACAACCACCATTAATAATAACAACAACAAAAGCAACAACAACAGCAACGACCATCACCAACAACAACAACCAAAAACATCAACAACAACAACATCATCATCAACATCAACTACAATAACACAACCACCACCACTACCACCACCACAACCACCAT